TTTTTTTTTTTTTTTTTTTTTTGGTTTTTGTGCTTCAAAGCAGAGAGAAAATCAATTTACAATAATTACTGTCCCTGCCTAGGCCGAGGGCAAGCAGCTAAAGATCCCTTTCTTCACAAGTTGTAAGCGACCAATAAAGACAGGAACCAAAAGTTGGCAATATTTGAACATCTTACATGCTACCTGTTAGCCTTGAAAATACAAATTGTGTCTAACAGAGGGTCAAACATCATTGTTACCGGTTTGCATTATAATATTCCAAAAAACAGCAGCTGATAAGTAATGGCTCTCCATTGAGCACTAGAACTATTAACTTTATGAGTTTCTTTACGAAGCTGTAAAATTTACTGTAAGGGAATACCTACTATTATATGCACAATGCAGATGTGTTATTGTGTCCGTACATAAATATCTATAGTATAGGGTGGAATTGATAAAAGAATCATAGTAAGACAAGAGAAAATATTACATCCATAATATCAAATCAAACCTGTCTTTTACTACTATGGGCTCATGGAACCATTGCTAGTTCCACAATTTTCCAAGATTTCAAAGGGTCCTTAGTGGTCTTCATAAACTGCTTTGGTGACATTCTATCGCAGCTCATGTAAATAAGAGGTTTTCAATAACTCACCAAAAGTGACACCGCCCAATCCATGATGAGATTCGGCTGCTTCTGCTTCCGCTGAAATTGAGAGTCTACGAAGACCAGTAGTGATTCCAGCTCGGGCAGCTTTGTCCAAGATCTTTAAAAAAAAATGAAAAATAATTATCATTGGAAAGACTATTGATTATCTTCTATGACTAGTCAAAAACATTTGAATGAAAAAATGAGGGGGAGTGAAAAAACGTGTGAAGCAAGAAAAATTAAACATTGAGTAACAGTTTACTGTTGTTTTATCATAAGAATTTGGCTTTATTGCTTAAGGAAATACTGAGCTACTAAGAATTGACACTCACATGATGCCAGCTATACTTCATTTAATGAAAAAATTATCATAATGAAAACTAATAAATAATTACCCTTGAAATGTTTGGATAAGTACAATGCAATAAGAAGCTAATGAAATTATTGAAATGTCATGGAAAAAACATTCACAAATTTTCTTTTAGGAAAATTCCCAATTAATGGGAGGAATGTTGGCAGCATTCTAATGTTCAATGCGTTTTTCCTTGGCACAGCAGTATGCAAGAATGAAATTCAAATTCATTTATTGAGAAATTATGCATGATTATAGGTAGACGTGAAAAAATCGGCTTTCAAAATAGCGAGTGGACTTTGCTTTTAATATCTCTGATCTTGTGTAATGCTCCAAGATTCTATATTCACTGCATCACATTTCCTTCATCAACAATGCCTTGCTGAGGAAAAATGCCTACGAACATTCGAATGTTGTCAAATTTCTCTGGATAAAAAATGTATTTGGTAAGAAAGTTATGTATATTTTTCCCTGAAATAAACAGATATTTCTGACTAAATTGGGAACATAATTGTTCCAGAAATTGGAAGAAAAACATTACAACTTTTCAGATAAAAGTTGTATTTCATCAAAAAAAAAATTGGCAACTACTGAAGACACATTCAGCGTTTTTCCTCAACACGGCAGAACAGTTATCTTGATTCATTTGATTGATCTGAAAAATGGTTTGTGCCCTCTTAAAAAATTTTGAGAATTGCTTCATTTTCATCACTGAAAAAACATGATGATCATGTAAGAGATCACAATGTGGACTTGAGCTATTTTCACAGATTGGGGAAATTTGACTTATGCAGCGCCTATCAATTTAGAGATAAAACATATTGGAGGTAACTACTGATAAAAAGAATCTATGTTGAAATATGTAAATATTCTCAGTACATCTATTTGCTCACACATGATAAAACCTTAAGATGTAGGATAATGAGAGATGTTATTTTCCATGGCATTTAAGTCATAACTTTGATTTTGATTATGCATTTTTTAGGGGTGTGGAAAGTGTTCCATTACAAGCCTGCCGGGGACGTGAAAATGTGGAAAAGCTCTATAAAAAGTGGAAGTAGGGAAACTGTTAGAGGGTCAAGAGTCAGAACAAAGTACAGTATGACTGATTTAACATATTTGGCGCACCTGCTGGCAGCCACTTGATTGAGAAGTTGCAATGAAATATAAGCTGATTATTAAACAGAATATAAAAGAAAACGTGCTGTCATTCCTTGCTGAAACTAAATGAATGAATCAATGTAACAGATGTACCTTCTCGTCTCAACAATGGTCAGTGGTACAATTCAAGAGAGCTACTTACATTTCTCTCCAAATTAACTTTCACACTTAATACAGAACTTAGACAAACTGTTTGGATATGAAACCTCTGTTTGACATGCCCACATTATCATGAGTTTCAAACACTAGGATGGGATAAATTTTCTAAGCAAAGCAAAAACATAATAAAATTTTGATTTCAGCGCCAGGAATGTCAAAGGGATTGGGTTTGGACCAACATAATAATTTTTAGATGCAACTTGAAAGTTAGTTAATAATCTCCGATGGAATTCGGACAGAGCAGTCAATATTTGTAATCGCCATCAGCTAGATGTATGTAATTCGTATGAAAATTGGGTTACAGAATGATGGTACGCACCTAACCGCATGACCAGGGCAGAGAAAAACTAGTTCGCAAGGCCCTAGAGGTTTAAAGGAGCTTGTGTGAGTAGATTAATTGTGTTTAGTACAAAGCGGTATCTTATTTGTGTTAGGAAATTAGAATATGTTAAACAAAATGTGTTCAAGTCCCAAAGCAAATTGGTGAAAGAAGTTCAAATAGAAATGATTGATCATCTGTAAGCGTTGATCCAAGAACAGAGAGAAATACTTCAGAGAAAAGTGTGTAAAGCGTGCAGTCTTTTAGTATGCCAAAATGATGTGCAAAATTTAAAATAATAGTGTTTCAATTTGATATTTGTGATAGTTTCTTAATCCAAGGCCATTTCAATACACCCAAATTAGGCAACTAAAATGCAGTTCTTCAAAGATAAATTTAGCATAAACCAAAAATTAGGTAATGAGAAAAGTTTAAAATAAATTCGTACCTGTTTCAGAGACATATCTGCAGATTTTCCACAATTTGATGAGGATTAAAAGTTAAATTCCGGAAAGCACTCTTTCTGCTACGTGCACGAAAATGCTTCTAGAACTCTAGGACACTTGGACTTGGACAGTTGGGAAATACCTCGGCGGTGTAATATCTCACTTTACCAGCCCACTGATCAGTGGTCAGGCAAGCTGGAGTTGAGTACTAATCACTTCGTTACGACAGATATTGGAAAGTAGGTGAATATCCACTGCACTAAGGAAGATTCCGAAACNCGCGCATGGGAGCGACACGTCTTGTGGAATTTTAATTCTTATCAACTGTCCAATGGTCCATTCTCGAGGGTTGAGCCTTCACTTCCGCGTCTTGCGGGTCGATCCGGGTCAAAGTAACTCGTCGAGGGAAAGCTAGACGTGGACACCCCGAGGGCAATCGAGGAAGAGGCAGGATGGAGGGTGTTGGGTGTTACCTCCCAAAATTGTGCAAAATTTAAACTGGGAGCGGCGAAGGTATTGTTCCCTCCCTCACTTCAATTAAAATGTGTTCTCTTATCTATATCGACGGTACGTAAGTCGGCAATCACATAACTCGATTGTGGTGTCTAAAAATCTCCGCCACTATGTTATTTTTTCAAAGGAGAACAAAATTAACATCATTCCTTGAAGTTTTCGCAGAATTTTCTCCACAGAGAGAAGAAAAATCGTGGCATTTTTGAAGGATTTACGTTGAATAGTTTTCCGTTTAAAAAATAAGGTATGACAGGAAGTATGCGACGTCGCAAACCGAGTTACGTGATTGCCGACTTACACCGTCGATATGTGGAAAATTTTAGTTAAAGGCTCTATTTAAGAGCTTTTCTGCTCCTCGAGCAGAGCAAAATCTCCATTCAACAACCTACAAACCTGTATTTAAAAAAAAGGAGCGATTTCCTGTAGCAGTGAGATTTGGATATCTGTCAGGCCAATTCTCATGATTTTTTTTTTTTCTTTTTCTTTTTTTGCGAGCGCAGCAATGCGTCTGAGGATTAGCCTATTGATTGATTGGTCAGATTCGAGCCTTTGAAATTCCTGGATTCTTCGCTGCTTTGCGCGGTCTGACATTCATGAGCGGGTTAAAATGCCTCCCGATATTTTTGAAGCCCCATGAAATCCATTTGCGGATTCAGTATGTACGGTTCACATTTTCGACCGATCATCCTTCTCAGGGAGGGATTATTCGGACTCCTCAGGCTCGGCTGTATGAAATTTTAGTGAACACGTTTGTGAGGGTTGTTGCGTTGTGCGAATGCAAATACCTCAGAAGAAAACTTGAGACGAAACATTTACTTGTTCTTTGTTAACGTTTTACCTAGAATTTTATGCTAGAACTTTAGGCCGGCCTTCTTTCAATATACTTCGTCATTATTTCGTTTTTTTATGAACTTACAATTCCAGCACTAATGAACTCAGAAGCTCCAATTCAATGATCCTGACGCAGTCAGTATCGTGAGACATATTTCCTGAAAGCTTAGAATCCTGCAGCATAGGGCTCCCTATTAACCGTAGATTGATTTAAATTTCATACTGGACTTTTTGCTTTATAACTCTGCCTCCTGCAAGAGAAAATACATATATGTTGAGATGGGTGCTCAGATTCTTCTCAAATTGACCCCGCAACGACTTTACCGCATTCGTCGTTCTTGGATCAAAAGGTAGATTAAATTTCAGGACGGCAAACAATTAAAACATATTGGGAAAATTGACAATGTAGCGATGAAAATCAGTAATAGTTATCTTCATGGGTACAATAGGCAACGCTGGAATTAAGTAACAGAATAAGCAAGAGAAACAAGCAGAGCGCCATCGGTTAGTATCGCATGCGATGAGCAGCACTTCAAATTTCATCGTAACGCCTGGATACAAGTGATACAACTATTCGAACTCTACGGATGTCCGTGTTGCATACGCACAAAATTGAAGGCGTTTTAACTGTCCAGGCTCTTACCGCTTCACCCGGCGCCCGCGCTGCGGCGCGTGGCGCAAACGGTGGGTTTTACTGCCAGGATCCAAAATGCAGATAGCTTTCAATTCTTCGTTTAAACTACATATCGACGGTGAAACTACCAAACCACGTATCTCGTTTGCGGTGTTTAAAAATCTACGCTCACATTTTATTTTTTTGAAGTAGACCAAATCAATATCATTCCTTGAAATTTTCACGGAATTTTCTCCGCACATAGAGGAAAAATCACAGAAATTTTCAAGACTGGATGTTAAGTAGTTTTTCATTTAAAAAATAAAGTATGACAGGAAGTCTGCGACGTCGCAAACCGAGATACGTGGTTTGGTAGTTTCACCGTCGATATAGGGCATCTCCTAGGAGTAAAAAGCTGCACACAGGCGCAGAATGTGAGTATCTTTTGTGCTTCAGTTTTGATGTGTTGAGCTCAGCATGATTTGTAGAGCAACTTTTCATGTCTAAGAGACGTCTTTGAAGTGTAAATGAAGAATTAAAGGCCCTCTGTTTTTATGGACTCTTGCTAGAAAGCCCGCCGCACAATGAAAGGAGCCTTTCAAAGAGGTTGGACATGAAATTTTCGATTAAAACTGCAAATTTTGGTGTTATTTTCTTCACATTATAAATTGTATGAGGTGCTCCTTGAAGGGAAACCACCTCTAAAACCTCTACGTTCCGTATCATCGATCGGAGCTTTTAATGTTACCTTATTTAGTGTCTGGAGTCAAAATGCCTTCATTTCCGTGTGTATGCTACACGGACATCCATGGAGCCCGAATAGTTGCATCCAGGCGTTACAATGATTTAGTATCCGTTGCATGCGACCCTAAACTGAAACTTTGATTGGTTCTGCCAGTACAGGCGTTTTTTCTTCTTCTTTTTTCACTCAGCTTTGGTATTTTACCTTTGTTTTTTTGGCATTCAAATCCTGAATCAAAGCGTTCATTAGTCTTTTTTTAGTAAGTACCAACTCAATTGAAAAGCGTTTTCCTCTTTTTCCTTCTCACATATTATTTGGCTATGAATCATGTGATGCTGTATACAAAGCTGACGTCAAAAATATGTATTGGCATCGCTACGTTTAAAAACCTCGCAGTATTTTGTCCTTATTTTGTGAGAAAACCAACCAAAATATATCCTTTGTATTTTCTTTGAACGTCACTAAATAGATGAAGTAAATTCACAAACATTTTAAGGAAAACCTGTGGACAATTTACTTTCAAAAACTGAACTGCAGCGGTCGAAACCTACAATGCGCACAATCTGAGCAACCGTCAATATTTGTGATGAAATTTCATACATATTCACATGACTCTTACGGAGGACTTGCCTCAGCATATTTCAGTGGAATTGCCGAAAAGCTCACAGTGATGTAGAATGTGAGGCTGCAATAGTGAAGCAACAGGGTTATATAATTCTGATTTATGCCTTTTGAACGTTACATTCAGCTTATTTCACTTTTGTTGATAGCCCGCTCGTAAACTTTGCACGTAAAAGAATGATACACTGCTATAAATGTACTGCTAACAATAAGATAAAGGAAGGAGGTGAAATCAACAAAATGTCAAAAAGTGTAGGTGAGCAAATGGAGTGGCCGATGGGCACTGCAGCACCGTTGAAACATGTTTGCAATTTTACGTCAAAGCCACCAAAGACTTCCAAGTATTACCTATTTCTGCAATATTGTGGCAAACCCCTGGTAGTACAGTAACGTTACTCAACATGAATGCAATGCCACGGCCAAGAAGGTACGACAATACATTTAATATCAACATTATATGAGGGGCTTGGAGGACAAGGCGCATAAGTGCAGTTTTTGCTATTTCGAGATCATGTTTCAAATATCGAAATTACATGGATCCTCATGGCGGAAAGAAAGTTCAAACTGCTTTTTTGATGCTTTTTGAAAAGTTGGACTTTGGGAGCGAATTTTTCACGGAATATGGCTTAAGGTTAGTTTTACGGGAAATCATTAATATCTCAAATTTTTCAAGAACTGCACTTATACGCCTTGTCCTCCAAGCCCCTCATATTATCGTCGCTCCTCCGGCGTAAGGGCGTATCTCAATTTCTACGTGAGCCCTGTTCTTCATATAACCCCATGCTTTTCAGGGCTCAAGTGAAAATAGAGATACGCCCTTACGTCGGAGGAGCGACGAATTACCTCAGCCTCTTATCCGCTCAACAGACTCAGAAAAATTACCGCCAACCTTTAGATTGATTATTACCGTGCAACATCTTAACAACGCAAAGGTATTGACTCCCGGCTGTTGCGCCGAAACTTGATTACGTGAGGAGGAAACACGTGGGAAAATATTGACCAATACGGCAACGAAACGGGCACCCATCGGTGAAACGCCGGCCGGCATGAAATCCGTTGCTAAGTCAAAATCAACAAGCTGAGGTAACTGTAGCCGGCGATACAAAAGTGCGTGCTGTAAATACTTTATGCGTCGTTCCAAAAAAAATTCGAGTAACAATTAACTTATTCTTAGCAAAACAATTATTTTCATTTAAAAATAATCTCCCTACCCTTCTTGACTGCGATTACCTGTTGAACAACCTAAAGGTCAAAGATGGACGGAAATACCCTGAATGGACAAACGCAAGGCGGGACGGTATTTGATTTCCGAAGGGCGAAGTACAGCGAGGAGACGCATAAACTCCTGAGAGGTGAGTGAGCAACTAAGTAGTAACATTGGTGTAGTTGTAGCCAGACATTTTTTGGAGAGGAAGGGAAAGGGTATAGTAAGGTTGTTCATTTTGCGAAGTATTTGAGTGAAGCATTGAATGGTCACAAACGGTCAAATTCTATTCTCGGCGGTCCTCTAATCTCAGTGGTCTCCTGCTGAGAATAGAGGACCCTTAAAACAATGTTTCTAACGCCAACAAGATTTACCTACATTGCGTCAACTCCGAAAGGGAAAGGTGTCCAGCTGTCTATCCGACGATTAAATATACAAGCCATAATGAAGTCACAAAAATATTTTTTTTTCAGAGAACATTGCACCGCCACCTCCCGCAATATCATTGCGAATGTTTAAGGCACAATAAGACTGTTCAAAAAATGTTCTTCGCATGTTTCGGGCATAACATAGACTGTATAGTCGTGAGGAGAGTGGGATTGCAACTTCTCATTTCAGATACAACATTGAGGTATTACCCCGATCATCAAATCAAAAATTAAGCACCCGTTCATGAGTTCGAACATGCCTCGTTTCTCTTGAGGCTCCCTGTTTTTCTATCATAATGCTCTGAAAGTAATATGTGTGCTAAATAATGTAGAATCGATTCCTATATTCGATAGGATAGTCGTTGCCTTTTACTTTCATCAATATCAGTCCCCTTCACGAAAGTTACTGCATTGCCGTACGCGAGCGAGCAGCGCGCAGCAGAAGGAAATGCATAACGCCTTCAACTGTTTGAATAGGCAACAAAGACATCAGCAGAGCAGTATTAGTTGCATCCAGGCGTTATAAAGCATCGTCCCGACGCGACGTGTCCTATGTCCTTGTCGTGTCGCCGCGTTACGTTTTTGGTTTTTGGTCAACAACGAGATGGGTATTTCCTTGTTTTACCGGTGCCCTGTACAACTGAATCGCACTTTTTATTTAGTAACATGGAATGTATTTCCCGTTGTCGAGGAGAAACGAGTTTCAAATTGTTATTCATGTATAACATGTTGTTTGGTGACTAAATTATTATTTACGTGTGTTTTAGAGCTACTGAGGGAAAGTAGATTGTCATTGCTGAATAAGAGGAAAGTTCAAGAGAGCATCCAGAGGGGAGAACCCTTACCATTTCTCCGAAGACCTGCCTCTGCGGATGAAAGGATCAGTAGTAAGGATGTCATGATGAGGCCGAAATATGTTCGGCGACGCCCGAAGGAACTCATCGTAAAGTCCGGCGCATATGAAATGGACACTTTTGTTCCATCAAACTACAAATGTAAAGAAGAGATATTTTTTATACATCCGTATTTATTTGAGTATCACGGAAAAAATTAAATTGCAGATTTAACAATTCAATTGCTAAAAAAAAGTGACTGCAATGTTTCAATGTAGATTTTACAACACAAAAATGCTACTTTAACCTCCCCCTTGCGGTTAAATAAGCTTACAACAGTGGTTAAAGTTGCATTTTTTTGTTGTAAAATCCACGTTGAAACGTTGCAGTCACTTTTTTTCAGCAACTGGATTGTTAAATCAGCAATTTAATTTTTTCCGTGTAGGAACAGGAAAGTGGGATTAGGAATGTTTCCCTCTGAAATTGAATAAGTTGTTTCCCGTGATACCCAATGACCCCTCTTGAACTCGCTCCACTTTTTTCTGTAAATGAGTGAAAATACCACTATATATAGTGTAATGTAAGTCGGGAAAAACGGGAGCATAATTCTGTTTCAAACAAGGGAAAGGATATGTTGTATTTAAATCGAAGGTCATTTTGATGGCTTCAGTAAAAAAATACGCATTTCTGATTGCAACCTCGCAAATCTCGGTTCATACTCTGTTAAAAGAAAGAGTGAAGCAGCCATAAAAAAACTACGGCTGTTTAATTATAATAATATTTGTTTAATTTTCTGAAAATTTTCTTCACTCATTCTAAGAAATTCACAGAAGATTCCAAGGAGATATTATGGTAATTTTTTTCCAGAAAAATTAGAGCGCAATCTGCAGAGAGTTTTAAAAGTTGCAATTGAGATACGCTCTTTTTTTTACTTCAGCCATCGATTTTTCGTTTACCAATAATGACCGGTTCAGTTAGAATTAAAATGACATTTTTTAAATGCTAAATAAAAAGTTTATACCGTTGAAATATAATATCTAGATACAAATTTAGAGTATGGCGCGAGATGGTTTTAAAATTGGTTTGAGGAAAATCTGTAGATCATAAGCTAAAGTTGCAACGAGAAGCAAAATCACGGCAGAGAAAAATAGGGCGTTAATTTTAAAACCAACTGCCGTCATTAGTGACGAAATACTTCCTAAACCCGGCACTGTAGACAGCTTCTTGAAGTGTAAAAGTTATTTTTTGGATTCCGCGTTGTTTTTCGCCCATTACTGATTGATGAGTTACGTGTTTAGCGATTTTTTCTGCAAACAAGTTGTTTTAACAAACTTTTTTAAACTATTGCTCCTATCAAAACTCTTTGGTCATCATCAGGCATGTCGATGGTGCAGTAGGTAACGATTCTTGAAAGTTGGCAACACTATTTTTCCTCAATTTAAATGTATGTAAAACAATCGATTCCTAGCGAGGCAGCTCGCCTCACTTAAAACCGATATTTTTAATGGATTTAAATGGCGAAATAACAATGTTGCCAACTTGCAAAATCGCCGCTGCGACGATGAAAGTGCCAGACCACATTATCTCGATTTGCAATGTTGCAGATCTCATGTCACCTATTACTTTTCTGAAGAAGACCTGATCATCGTATTTGCACAAACTTTTGTTCAGTATTTCTTCGTTCTTCTAAGATTTTTCTCCAAAAATTTTGCGCAAATAATTCAAGTATAGTTTTTTTTCTTTAAAAAATAAAATATGAAGGGACATTTTTTAACATCGCAATCGAGATCCCTGGTTTGGTAGTTTTACAATACAATAAAATGTGTTAAACAAGACTTTTCATGGTTTAGAGTTTCGCGATGTCAATCTTAGAGACTCTTAGATTCAAGTTTAATCATTTTTATTAATTTGTTTATATTATTTTATTTTTTGTTTTGTTTATTTGCTTATTTTGGTTTGGTGTTTGTTCGCTAAATTTTAGATAACAATGAAATTGAAAAAGAGAGGCTTCAAAGTATGATGACTTACGGTGAAATCGTTTCTCAAAAACAGATTGATCTCAGAAAACGACAGCCAAAACCTCGCGAGGATAAAGATCCACTCGCAGGAGAGACGGATGATGAAAGATTTTTAGAGTGTAAGGATACCAATAAAGTATATTTTGAAAGTATAAAACAATTAAATGAATTCAACCCAAAGGTTCAACTGATGAACTTTTTGTGTGCCCAAGACTTTGTATAGGCAAGCAAAGTCCCCAGTCAGGTCAAATTGAGCGGTATTTAAATAAAATGCGTTTTAAAAGTTTTTGAAGTGAGTGTCAATGTTGTTTGAAGTACG